AGAACCACTGAGTGTCATAAGCAGAAGCTCCAACATTACACCATTGGACATAATATTGTTCTAAAACGGGGTGTGTGGTGGTTACCACCATGGCCTCACAGTCAGATGGTTCTGGGTTGGAGTCCCGGGGGAACCAGGACCAAAGGGTTCTGGGTTGGAGTCCCGGGGGAACCAGGACCAGAGGGTTCTGGGTTGGAGTCCCGGGGGAACCAGGACCAGAGGGTTGTGGGTTGGAGTCCCCGGGGGAACCAGGACCAGAGGGTTCTGGGTTGGAGTCCCGGGGGGAACCAGGACCTTTCTGGGTGGAGTCTGCATGTTCTCCTGTGTCTGTGGGTTCTCTCCGGGTTCTCCGGCTTCCTCCCACCCTCCAAAAACCTGCATGTTAGGTTGGTTGGACTCCAAACTGCCCTTAGTGTGAGTGTGTGTGGTTGTTGGTCCTTGTGTGTCTCTGTGTGTCCCTGTTATGGACTGGGGACCGTTCAGGGTGACCCCGCCTCTCCCCATTGGCTACTGGGATAGGCTCCAGTTCTCCCTGTGACCCCATTAGGGAATAAGAGGTTACGGAAATGGATGGATGGATGTTGTAAAAGGTGAATCAGTCAGATGAAGGGTGGATCTTGTGTTGTGTGTCCTGTGTGCAGCTCTGGGTAAAGGCCCCTACCGGCTCTCCACCTTCGGGGACGGGGGGGCGGTGCTGCTGGCTGCCAGCAGATCCAACGGATCCGTGTTCCTGCAGAGAGCCAACACCAGCTCCAGCTCCTCCGGGATCCTCTCCCAGTTCATGATGACGCCGGGCCTGAGCAGAGTGCGGCCCCACGGTGAGCCCCCCCCCTCAAAGCTTTGGTGTTATCGAAAGGTTGCCATCAGACTTAATCACGGCCAATCTGAGTAATCAGACATAATCCATCACTGACTTTTCTCTGGCCTCTTTTTCTCTTGAAAATGTCACATAGTTCTGGCTCTGTAGGAGATGGCAGCCTCTCTAATAGTTCTCCAGTTTATACTCTTTGTTTGCTCTTTTTCAAACTATTTTCAGCTCTTTTTCAAACTATTTTCAGCTCTTTTTAAAACTATTTCAGCTCTTTTTAAGACTTTTTTCAGCTCTTTTGTACCTGTCAACTTATTCTATTATCTTTTGTATTTTTATCTTCAATGGCATCTTGCTTTAACTCTGCCTGTTGTACTCTATATAAGCTAGTGGAACCAGAGTTTCCCAGTGTCACAGCGGTGTAGTCAAATTGTTTTTTTTTGTCCTGTCTCCATGGTTGTCTTGTCATTTCCTGTTTTATTTTGAAAGGTGCATCCCCTTGTTTCAGGCCACTTATGTGTCATATGTCTGATTGTCTTCCCTGGTCCCTGACTGTGTTCACCTGGGGTTCCTTTCCCTTTCTGGGTTAAATATTCTGTGTCTCTCCTTGTCTTGTGCCAGTGGGTTTTGTCCTCTACTGAGCTGAACCAAACCATAGTTTTTCTTGCTCCTCGATTTTTTTGATTCCTCTTATGAGTGATAATGATTTTTTACTTCCTAGTTTGTCGTTCTCGCCTTAGAATGAGTATTAATTTGGTCATTTGTTCATGGTTTTTCTGCCTCAATTCGAGCGATTTTATTTGTTACCTCACTAGTCTTTCCTCTTTTGAGTGATTATTATTTTGTACTTTTCCCTTCCACTCCCTGCCACTGCGCTTTGATTGATTTTAAAGTAGTTTTGGTTCCTATCACGCATCTGAGTCCTGCCTGAGAACCATTCTGACACCCTGAAGGAGTAATCCCGAAGGATAAATGAAGTTGAGTCAAAGTCTAGAAATCGATTTTTTTGGCAAATTCTGCTGAGTCTCCAGAGTCCAGCAGACCTTTGCCATTCGAACTAAATCATCCACTTACCAGTCTGGTCTCTGGGAAGTACAAACTTCTGAGGGAAAAGAACCCAACGTTTTCCACCAAAATCGAATTTTTTCAAAATTTAAGAATTTTACTAACAGCAGAAATCAAATGCATTTGATATTTTCGTGCAGACATTTCATGGCTGTGCACGCTCTCTTCCGCCATCTTTCTTTGTGCTGCTGAGCATTCTGGGATAACTCTGGAAGATGGGCAAAATGGGGACATTTCAGAAAGTGTTCATATTGATAAACGGCCCTCATTTTCTGCAGGGTGTTCGAAGTTATTGACCTAAATTCTGAAGACATCTCTCCTCCTCACATCTCCTCCTCACAGTTGGTAGTTTGCTGGAGACGTTTTCTGAAGGAATTTGAAGCATTCAAACACAGATTTCTTATTTTCTTGCTGATTAGCCACTCTATGGCTCTTAATGTTCAGAGTGAATTAGCTGTATTTATCCCATAAACAGAAGCAAAATGACTGTGAACAGCGTGTTTAAGTTATTTTTAATCACATACCAACAGAAATGACATAAAGGTGTTCTGTTATTTGCCCTTATCGGAGCAGGAGGCGCTGGTTAGAGCGACTTAGCTCAGATTTCTGCGACTCCAGCCGACCCAGCTGGGCCTTTTGACAGCGTTTGGAGGGATTTGAGCTCTGCAGTTAAAAAAACACTGATGTAGTAGATGGACTCTTTGTGGAGGGGTCCAAACATCAGATTGGCAAATGCTTGTTTTGCAACCCGAGCAGCTTCTGGTCGGGGAGCCCGGAGTGGAGCCAGCTTATCGGCTGTGAACATTTAGACGGAGCTCAGCCTCACTCAGTGCTCAGAAACGGGTTTCTGTTAGAAGAGATGCAATAAAATACTGTGTTTTGGAGTAAAATGTCCTTTTCTGTAGCTTTCAAGCATTAGCGTGTTGAATTTTGGATGATGTTTAGGGAGATTTAGGACATTGGCTTTACTAAAGATGTCAAGAATGATAAAACTGACCTAAACTGTCTGTTCTCGTTAACTTTGATC